CTGCAGCTACTTTGTACCCTTTTTAAGCAAACACAATTAAAACAGCTCACAGCAGCTTAGATCCACCATGAGAGGTGGCTGAGGTACAGATTTTCACTAGGTCTGTTTGATACCTTTTTACTGGATCTGATCTCAAGAGTACCTAGCCCTGCAAATCATGGACCTGGTTTAGTCCTTCCTACTGTGACAGGCCTACCCCACTCTCCATCCCTACTAGAGAAGACAGCTGACCCATGATATAAACAGATTCCTTCTGGAAAGCAGGAGTGTCATTTAGAAGCCAGAATAACCCACCACTGGGCTTGGCGGAGAAAGTTCACCAGTTCCTGGTGTGTGTTCATTACGGATTAGCAGCCAGCCCCATAGCCTCACATGGAATCACATCGTGCCAAAGTATGTTTACAAACAGAAGCAGAATGTGACTTACATCTCAAAATCTGCATAACCTATACCTGAGCAAATGTGCTAGTGCCTCCACTTGGCTGTTTTTGCCCTACCACATGGAAGGAAATCGTTTCCTACTTCAAGCAGGAGAGGAATCAGCCCAGCTACCCCCATTTTGTGTATCATAAAGTTGAATTACTGTTAATTCTGCAGGCTTCACAAGTTATCCCTGCAGGGGAAGGAGACTGGGAAGTTTCAAAGCTTTCTACTTTTAAGAAGGAAAAGCAAGACCATAAAGTAGCAAATATATAAACAGCCAAACAAACAAACCACTTTAAAGTTCTAGTTCCTCTCAGATGAGTGGGAGAAAAATCTTTTGGATTTTTCTTTTAGATAGACTTGAAAAGTTGAGTCCATGATGATGAACTTCTTACGTGCTCTATAATCACAAGATTGCTAAAAACCCAAGACTACTGTTAACACCACAGACACATCACTCACAGCCCTGGCTGCTAAGAACCACAGCTGCAGACTGCTCAGAGCAAGGCACATCACATTTTTCTCTCTAATCAAATGAAGGGTGGTTGGCCTTTAGGCAAGCAATCTCTTTTGAGAGAGTTGGGCTCCTCCTGCAAGCTTGGAAGACAAACTGTGAATGCTCCTGTGAATTATGAGATCTCGGTGATCTATGCCAGAAACATGAAGTGAACTATTTTTCTGTCTCAAATTCAGAGTTATTTTTTTCTTGCCAAAACCAAGATTCCAGGGAGTTGGGAAGGCCTGTCATTTCCTCATACCCGGCAGGAAGCTAGCTGCTTTGCAAATTTGGCCTTGGATAATTTGAAAGACATCCCCAGAACTGACTTCAGCCTCAACACAGACAGGCTTCCAACCACGCCTCGCAATGCAACAGACTCAGCCTGCCTGACCGTGCTGGATGCCTGTGGTGCCCAGCTCCACCCAGAATGAAGGGGCATTGCAGGGGCCAATGACTGTCTCTGTAGCAAAGACAGAGACCATCCCTCAGCCATGCAATGCCGGCAAGGACTTCCCACAGCTGTGTTCGAGTTCAAGGCTTTGGTTTTTATCAAAAACGTTAAGATTGCCCCTTAGAAACCCCTGGCCAAGACTCACCAAAGTTGCACATCAACCTCCCTCTGGAAAAACCACTCTCTGATTGATCTAAGTGGCCACAGGACTTGAACACTTCAGCGCCCCTGCTTCTGATAACTTCTCAGCCACTGACTAAGTGGTAGAAAATGAAGGGTGGTTTGGCCTTTAGGCAAGCTCTCTCTTTTGGGAGAATCAGGCTCCTCCAGCAAGGTTAGAAGACAAACTGCAAATGTTCCTATGAATTAGCACCCCACCTGTGTCTTACACACACAGCACACCTAATGCATCTCTGACAGCTGAAAGAGGCAACCTCGTCATGGGGTACCTGCCCGCCCTGCCAGCCAGAAACACCAAAGCCCAGCTCCAGTGAGTCTGGGGAAGCTCTTGACTGTTCCATTTCCTTATCTACTAGACAAGGACATTGGTATCTATCTCTTGGGGCTGTGGCATATCTGAAGTGAGATAGGATGAAATATCCCATAAGCTGACAACTTGTGTGATTGGTATGATCATCTTTAGAAAGCAGCTGATTCTGCATCTGGGTTGCTCTGTCACTAGAATCTTACTCTTACTCTGCCCTCAAATCTGGCTTTCGTGCCTCCTACCTGCTGACCTCAGGCTGACCACCCAGAGCAACTAAAAAAAGGTTGCACCCCTTCTACGGAACAGTCCTTCACACAGCCAAAGACATTGAGCAAATGTGCCTCTACTTTCCTCTTACCTCACAGTGTTTTTCACCAGTCCTTGGCTGCCAGGTTTCACAGCCCCTTGCCACTCCAGCTGTCCTCTGCTTTCTCTGCACCACACACACCAAGGTCCCCAGAACAGAACTCCATCTCTGGCTAGCACTACCTGGGATCTGCCCATACTTCTCATGACACAGCTAAGATTATGTTAATGTTCAAGCAGCTCTTAATGACCTGGTGATCACTGAAATCCTCCACTCCCAGATCTTCAGCCATGCTGCAGGCCAGGGCCTTGCCTTGGGTAGTTACAGAATTGAATCACAACACTTCACACTTTGCTTCCATGCCATGGGTTTGGATCAGTATCCTCACCTGCTGAGATCATTTTAAATGAGTCCATGCCATTTAAAAAAAACAGAGAAGCATTCTTTCTAAGTTGGTATTCACATCATATGCGGGGAGAAAAGGTTAAGAACAAAGACTGAAGAGGCAGCCTGGCTGCAGAGCTGCCCTGTCCAGCACAGCAGCCAATAACCACGCAGCTGTTACACTTGAAAAGTGCCCCATCCGAATTGAGATGTGCTATAAATCACACCAGATCTCAAAGGTGGAAAGTAAAATAAAGTTAAACATCTTAGTGACTTTTTTTGATACCAATTGCATGCCAAAATATATTTGGATATATTTGGTTAAATGAAATATACTATAAAAATTAACTTCACCTGTTTGTTAAAAATTTTTTTAACATGATACTAGAAAATGCTGACTTCGTGGCTGCATATTTCTGTGGGACATCAAGCTGTTCTAGAGATTCTAAGACATCAATCAGCACTCTTGCTTTCAACATGGTGAATCTGCCCTGAGCTGTCTTCACCATTTCCTAATTCATATTTCACCATTTAGCCATGAAGATATTCTGGGGAAGTTTGGCCAAATGCCTTCCATTTATATGTTCAATACATTTCTGTCATAGCAACCTTTCTGAAAAGAGAGGGCAAGAGGAAGAGAGAGGAAGGGAGAGAAAATGAGAGGATGAGATGCGGCCTAGCTGATGTAAGGGAATCAACATGAAGAATCCATGCCATTCTCTGTGCAGGATTTGAGGAACCCAGCAGTTAAGTTCCTGTATTTAATTTGGATTCTGAGAACAGAATTACAGCTTAATAAATGTTTGTTGAACACGTGGGCAGCTGAGCAAATGCCTATATCAGAACCTTTATCTAGTTCCTCCCCTCCAGGCCTTGAGTTAGCCTGGGATTGATAGGGTAACCCCAGCCGCCCGAGTCCCCAAAAGAACATGCACTTTAGAGTCAGTAAAACCTAACACTGCATTGTGACTCCACCTCCCACCAATTCTGTGACCGTGGATGTGTGACTGGACTTCTTGGTTGCTGCCCTAGCACCACATGCTTCTCTAGGTTTTCCTGGGGTCACAGCATTTTCACAGGATGGCCAGGCAGTGCCACCCATGCCGGCTCATGCTAATTCTGGTCTCCATCCTCACAGAGGGCAGAGGAGTGTACCAAGAAGTGGCTCCTGCATCCTGACAGTGACTGGCACTGCCTGGCCACTTTTTTTTTTTTTTTTTTGTCTTTAGCAAATGTCTTTCTTTGAATCTCATAGATTGAGGGAGAGAGAAGGGGTTTGGGGCTCAGATCAGTGCCAGAGGACTTGTTCTATCACTATTCGCATTTTTCTCCTTCTTCCTTTTGTTACCTCTTCCCTTCCATCAACAAAAATATTTCTATTGAAAGCTATAAAAAAAAAGCTTGCCCTATAACCAAAGAGGAGGCAGAAGCAGAATGTTCTAGACCTATATGTCACTGCTTTTTTGAAACTGTCATCCTCCTGTAGCCTGATCCTGTCATCCTCCTGTAGCCTGATCCTGCTACAGCTGTGTGCCTAGGAAGCCCCCCGCACCTTGTGACTGACCTCTGGACCAGATCAGGGGTCAGCACCAGCCCAGAACTCACTGTGTCGCCTGGCCCATGAGATTGACTCATTCCTCTATCTGAACTGGAAGATCCAGAGTCAAGTTAGACGGTTTCAAGCCCTGGGATTGTAAAGCCCTGAGAAGTTGGAGACAGAGGCAGTACCAGGGTAACCTGAGCCACAGGTAAGTGAGTACTATGAGGGGACAGAAACAAGAGCCTTGCAGACAAAGCTGTCGCTTACAAGGCACTGGAAAAAGCAGAGGCAGGAGACCACACAACCTCAGAGACATACAGGGGAACAGCTGCCCTGACTCTCCGCCCTTCCTGTTGCTGGTTGATGAGGTCCTTCTGTCACACTCTAGGCACCTCATTTACTCTTAAGCTTCTGAGATGTGTGTGTGTGGTTTTCTTTTTCTTTTGAGACAGGTTCTCACTCTGTCACCCAGGCTAGAGTGCAGTGGCATGATCTCAACTCACTGCAGCCTCCACCTTCCTGGTTCAAGTGATCCTCCATTCTCAGCTTCCTGAGTAGCTGGGATTACAGGCATGCACCACTACACCTGGCTAGTTTTTGTATTTTTAGTAGAGACGGGGTTTTGCCATGTTGGCCAGGCTGGTCTTGAACTCCTGACCTCAGGTGATCCACCCACCTCGGCCTTCTAAAATGTTGGGATTACAGGCCCATTCTGCACCTATAAACATATAAACTTCAACCGAGACACATCTCCATCTGTTCTCCCCAGGTCACCTCTTTCCCCCAGGGTGGCCCTGAGACTTTGCAAAACAGCCACTGGCACCCGCTGGAACCAGGGCAGAGGAGGAGAGCTTTGATCCCACATGTCCTTTGCCAAACAACAACACAGAAAACTTTGCCCATCCCTGATTGCTTTTTCTCAAGAGGGAAAAGTTTATTGCAGGTTGGGTACACTTGTAAAAGGCAAAATCTAACAATGAGAACGAACTATAGGGCCCACCAGTTTAGAAGATGAGCGGATAAAACAAATACACGGATTATGTACAATTATTAAAAAGAGCAGGGTGGTGGACAAAAAGGAAAAACTGCCAGCAGCCTTCCAGAAGATTCACAGAGTATGTCCGGGAGCACCTTCCCGCCCAGTCCGGGCCGCCTCGGGCACGCCTCCTCAGGTGGTTGCCTGCCCTGCTCCAGATGAAATGCAGATGAGGAAGCAGGCGCCAGCGCTGAGGATTGAGCTCGTTCTGCTCTGCAAGTCACTGGCTTGCGGAGAAGAAATGGCTGTGTGCCGAATGCGCCAAGCCTCTCACTAAACATACCCAGAGGGCAGGTTCAGAGGGCAGGTTTCCTAACACATGTGTGGGAAGAGCCAGGGGAAACCCATAATGCCCAGGGAAGAAGTAGCTTCTCCCACGGTCTGTGCACCAATGAATACCCAGCACTGTCTCTGCTGAGCCCAGTGCCCCAAGCTGAATGGCTGGGCTACTGCATCGGGCATCCGAGCGCTTCTCAAAGCCTGCAATCCGTGTCCAATGACCAAATCGTCCTCTCAGGTGCTCACTTCTATTAGAAAGTCAGTCTCCTTAGCCCCCATATCACCTCTCACAGGGCACCCATAAAGGGACAAATGCAATTCCAAGTCTTTCGTTTAAAAAAAAAAAGAAAAGAAAGGGAACGTTCTGAGTCTACTTAAATAAAGAAGAGGTCTTGGTTCATCCAAAGTGTTTCTATAAAAATGCATCGAATGCTGGATAAAAGTTGCACATTCTCCTGGTGAAGCTGTAAAATGTCCAATGACCTGAAAATGACTGTGGATGATCTGGAATGAGTCTCTCCGAACAGCTGTAGGCAGAGCAGACACAGCCTTCGATGCCTCCAGGAACCAGAAGGCAGAGCCCAGAGCACCAGGCCAAGCTCCAGGATGCCAGGCTCTGGTTCCCAGGTGGCCTGCAGAGGATGGGCAAACTCAGGCATAGGTGGTGAGGGCAGGGAGGCCTGCAGCAGGGAGGCCAGCAAGGCCGAGCAGAGGGCTGGCTTCCTGGGCGGCAGTGGGTGGCTTCGCCCACCTGCAGGAGGCTCAGTCTCGGTGACGGCGCCAGGTCCCGGCCCGCTCACCGCCCGTGGCAGCAGGAGGACAGTGTGGGGTGGGAGATTCCGGAGGGGCGGGGGCCAGGGCTGCTTCCCCAGGTACAGGGGTCTCCTCCACTGAGGGAGGAACTAGAGAGGTGGGCTCCATCCCAGGCCTGCCGCCGTCTTGACAGTGCTTGCTGCAGAAAATCTGCCCCTCCTTATCTAGAGCTGTGTTCTGAGGAGGAAACAGCAGAGACAACACATTACCCGGGCCCAGGCACAGGTTCCAGCTGCCACGAGCAAGAGCACGACAGAGCATGCACGGGCCTCAGAAACAGAAGAGGAGAAATAACACCAAGCTTCTAACAGAAGCCTCACAGGAGAGCAATGGTTTTGGGAACCCACCAGGGGAAGGGGCTGTCCTTGGCCTCTGCTCCAACCCCGACCCAGGCTGGCAGCCCAGGAAACACTGAGTGTCCGTCGTCTTCTCTCACTTTGGGCTGTGCCTGAGTTCTCATTGCTTCAGCCTAAGCCCAGCCTTTAAGCTCAAAAAGAATTCTTAAGACAATAAGCAAACCTTACGAGGATGCTCAGTCTTGGACAGTTTACTTTTCCAAAGAAAGTTCTCTGTCACAGATTGAAAAGTGACTCATATATCCTACAAATAAGTAATCCTCCTAAACCCCAGCAGTGGTGAAGCCTCTAAAAGGCCCGGGAATCGGATGGAACCACCTTATCCTTTTTGAGATCCTTCATGATCGCCTCACCTGTCTTCTCTTTACGTGAGACAAAGCTTCCTTATCCTGACACATCCTGAAAGTTTTAAAATCTGCTCAGCTCTTCAAGGAATGAAGAAACAGCCACAAAGATGTGAGGCAGTCACCTTGTTTCTGAGCCTAGCTGAGGTAGGGACCCTGGTCCTCCTCTCCTTCTCTATTTCCTGCTCATCCAGGGAAGCCTGTCAAGCTGCCATCTCACTGGGCTTCCCAAAAGTGAAGGAAACTGCCATTGCCAGGCACCTTCAGTGGAAAGGGACAATGGCCAGGAGTCATTTTGTAATGTAACTGCCCTAGGGGAAATGCACTCGAGATTCTTTCAGTACTTTAACAATAATAATAATAAATCTGGAGAAAATAAAAATGAACCATAGGGCTTTCTGAGATGAACCTGGATGGCGCCCCCCAGGGACCACCTGTGGAATGGCTGCTTCTCCACAGGCCCTGCCAAGTCCAAGCTGAACATTCATCGATTTCTGGCTGTGTGAGGTGGCTCACACCTGTAATCCCAGCACTTTGGGAGGACAAGGAGGGAGGATCACTTGAGGTCAGGAGTTCGAGACCAGCCTGGGCAACAGAGAGACTCCATCTCTACAAAGAATTTAAAAAATAGCTGGGTGTGGTGGCATGCAACTGTGGTCCCAGCTACTTGGAGGCTGAGGCAGGAGGATGGCTTGAACTCAGGAGTCTGAGGGTGCAGCGAGCTAGGATCGCACCATTGCATTCCACTCTGGGCAACAGAGCAAGACCCTGTCTCAATAAACAAAACTCCCAAAACCCCTACAGTTTCCAAGAACAATTTCAGTTACCTGGAGAAGAGGTAACTGTGGAAAAGTCCACTAAAAAATGCTCCCACCTACATGAGAACCAAAGAGGCAGCATACAGCTCTTTTCTACCATAAAACGTCCCTGGGTGCAAAAAAACAATCCCCCCATTATTTCTCCTTTTCTCTTCCTGTCAGGAGCACGGGGTGTGTGCAGCAGAAAGCAGGCTGGCAGTGCGGTTAGTACATACCATGGCCTTGGACCTAGCCAGAGGGAAGCAATGCAGGCGGCGGGAGAGGCAGAGGCAAGAGAGAAGCAGGGACAGAAACCAGACTTACTTTCAACAGAAGCAACATGAGTGAAACAGTTTTGTTTATCTTAAATTACGGAAACAAACCCAAATCCTTCCCCAACTTCCCCCTGAACGGAGGCATAATCTCCAAGCGAAGAAGGCAATGCCCTTGAATCTGTCCCTTCTCAGGTCTGCACCGCAGGGCGCCGAGTGAGGGCGGCTTCTCGGCATTCCCTTCCCACCACAAGATGGTCTCTCCTGGTTTCTGCAGCTGGGGTGAGACCCCTGGGGCACACGGGAGGCCATCCTGTATGTGCTGTGCTCTGTCTTTTCCTACACATGCTAAGGACGAGTCCAAGAAAACGTAACTGTAATCCCACACCTCAGCGCTGTCTGAAACCAAGGCCTCACCCATTAAATTATCTTCTCTTATCCCAAAGGCTGGCTGACATCACACTTACTGACACATATTCATCTCTGGAAATGAAGCTGGAGAAAGAACAAAAGCCTTCACAAGGCACCCATCGGAAGCTCCGAAAAGCCACTTTTCACCTAAGTGAGAAACCGCAGGCAGGAGAACTACTGGACTCCTCCCGTGCTCTCACCAGCTGTTGGTCTGGGAAGGCAGGCGGTGTGGCAAGCTGAGAAGTTTTAAAATAAAGTTTTCCAGGGGTGTGCTTGGCTGGCTGGAAAGGATATGAGTAGGTACAGAAGACCCACGCCAGTAAGCAGCTGAGAGCCGGATGGCGGCGTCAGAAACTGAGACAAGCACGCAGGCGTAAGAGGGGCGTGAGGGGCAGGGATGGGGTACGCCAGGCGGGCGCAGCATGGTGAATACCAGGATTCTGCTTCGGGCTGTCACTGTCTCAGCGGGGTAAAGAAGGAAACGCTGAGGTGCCTCTCAAACTGTCAAATCAAACTGTCAAATAAAACGCAGATAACAGCATCAACTTTAGTTTCTTTCACCTTTATGGACCAATTCCTATCCCATAATTTTCTCACTGAAGCCTCAGGCCCCAACTCTGGGGCTGAAAAAAACACCAGGGTGACAGCAGAAGGGAAGGTCCTATCTGTAAGTGACACAGCAGTTGTCTGATGATTCAACCTCTAGACAGTTGACACTGTTTCCACTATCATTTGTATCTGCAGAAAACCAGGTTAGCCCCACAGTCTCAGTTATGAGGACACAGAAGTACCAGGGAGAGTCATTTTGAGGTTGTTTATATAATATAAAAACACTTAAAACTGTTCCTGAAGACGGGACACAGATACACAGTGATGTGAGGAGGACGAGGAGAATGAAACAGCAGCCTCGCGAGTTCCCCCACACAACTGTGCCCCAGACCAGGTCCTGCGCCATGGGAGGATCAGCGGCAGACCTTCCCCTTCCACTTTTGGGGACAGCCCAAAATTCACAGGCTGGCATTTTGGCCATCGAGAACAGGTGCCACCAGAGGTGAGTCTGATTTTCCTGTAGGTACTGAGTGGGATCATGACATCAGTGGTGCCTCAGAGCTAACAGCTTGCAGAGTTGTGTAGGGAACATGGGGTTAGAGGGGACACCCTGCCAACATGCGCAAAATGACAAGTGAACACACGAAAACATACAACATTTACAATCGCCATTGGAAATGCAAACAATAAAGGTTGTTTGTTCACACAAACATCCTGTCAGAGCCCAGGGGTCTGTCTTTTGACTGCTGAACTCCTCATCAGCAAATGGAAAATGGAATTTGTAAACCACACAACACAGGTTCTGTCTGAGGGGGTCTAAGCATCATTATCCAGGACAGAGCCTATAAAACAGCCAATCATTCCAGAACCTCAGCTGAGAGCCAGCCGTATCTGGGCCCGAGTCAAAAAGTGACCCTGGCAACGACTCTTTTCACAGTCTCTTAGGAAACTCTCCTAAGCCCGGGGCACAGGGCAGCTAAAGGTTCTTCCTCTCTGAAGACTTAATATGGTTATTAAATTCTGATCCCAACCAATCTCTCTTCTTAAGGCTTTTCATGACATGTTGAGTATGCCAATTATTAATGTTTGATTTTTCTAAATTTTCCAAGAAGTTGCCTTACAGCGCAGTGCACGGCGAGGCTGCGTACACGGAGCCCATCCATCAATGCTAACTCTCGCAAGGGAATCGCTGGAAACATTCTCATGCTCTTGGCTCAATCAAGATGGTTCTTTTCAAAGTGTCTAAGCTGTAATTCTTTGACAACTCTGTGACTTTCTCAGGCTTTCAGCAAAACACTACTAAAATTCAAGGGAAACCACAACTCAAAAGGCCTTCCCGCTCCTTTGGCACAGAGCACCCCCAAGTCCTGCAAGCCATCAAAAGATTCAGCTTGCAAACCCAGGCTCTGTCTGGAGAGGGAGAGGGAGAGCACACTTGCTGGCTGGGAGTAGCTAGGAAGCTACAAGAACACACAGAGGGCGTCCATATCAACGCAGCTGCCCAGGGACAGAAGAGAATGATGGTGCGGTGGGTGCTCAGAACCCAGTGGACACTCAATCCATGTAACAGAGTGATGCACACTCGCAGGAGGTGTGAGGTATGTGGGGGTGTGTGGGGTATGTGGGATGTGTGGGGGTATGTGGGATATGTGGGGTGTGAGGGGGTATAGGAATATGTGGGGTGTGCAGGGTGTGGGGAAGTACGGGGGTATATGTGGGGTATGTGAGGTGTGTGGGAGTTGGGGGCATGGCATGTAGTGTGGGGTATGTGTGGGTGTGCGGGGGCACATAGGGTGTGGGGCTGTGGGGTGTGGGGGTGTGAGGTGTATGGGATATGTGGGGTGTGCAGGGTGTGGGGGAGTATGGGAGTATATGTGGGGTGTGTAAGGTGTGTGGGGAGTGTGTAAGGTGTGGGGGATGTGGAGTGGGGGAAATGGAGTATGGAGTATGGTGGGTATAGGGGATGTGTGTGGCTTCCTTCCAGCTTCTCTCTGGACCCTGTGTCTTCCTAGGTAAGGCTCCCAGACAACCATGCACCATGAGAATATACCACTGTTTTCCTTCTAGTTGGGTAGGAAACAAGCAGGACCTTCCCCAGTGGGTGAGAGGCCTGTTCCAGGTGTGAGTGACAGAGTTGTGGAGACGGCCCATCCTTAGCTGTCAGGACTCAGGGTGCAGGGGGAGGGAGTTGAAAGCTGCTCCAGTCAACTCTGGCTTCCAGGAGTGGGGTGGGGAGAACCGAGGTCCCTGCCTGGGTGGCTGGTTGGCCTGTATCTGCTCACAGTGGCAGCAGGGAGGCGCACAGAGCTGGATTTCCCGCCCAGCGTCACTGGCTCAGGCCGGGAGAGCCGCTGTGGGGTGTGCTGCCCTCGCGCTGGTTCAATGTTTTTTCCTTTTGATTCGATTCATTTACTCTCATGTCACTTTTCATTTTAATTTGTTGTGTTTATGTATTTAGGAAAGCTGCCTTAGGAAACATTTTGGAAGAAGACTGAGAAAATAAGGCCATCATTGTCACTGACATCTCATAAAATGTTACCGACCCTGAAAAATGAATTATGTATTTTTTCCCTTGGTTCTATAGCTTTAAAAGCCCCAACTATCTTTTATAAAACACTAATTTTTTAAAACTGAAATTTGTTTAGCTTTGGCTGTTTCTTATCCCAAGTCTCAAAGAATAATTCACATCTCAATCTATTTCTGAAGCCTTGAGTAGGCAGGGAGTTAATTCCTAACAACTAATCCCACCTGGGCTTGGGAATCTCCAGCTGAGAAGGCAGAGAGGAGAGTGGAAGCAGCTGCCCGGAGGGCGTGGCCAGGAGCTCCTCGGCACCTGGACCCCCCAGACCAGCCCTGTTGCTCCCTGCACAAGCCCCTCCATGCAGCGCCCGAGGCATGAGAGTTGCCGGACCAGTGTCCTCCACATGCCAAGCCAATCTTCACATGAAATAGGACCATGGAGGGTACCAGCTTCCATGTGAGAGCAGCCCCCGGGTATCTAATTCAAAAAACCTCAAGTCAAGGCCGACTCCATAGGCAGGCCAGACGCTGCCCGGTTCCACTCACCATGATGACGGAGACCCCCGTGGTGGTGCTGTTCTGTTTGGGGAGCGCGTTATTAAAGTGCTGCTTTAGTTTACCTGTTACCTCCGCTTGCATGTTATTCTCCTGGGAGGCATCATCCTACAGGAAAGAAAAGAATTGAATACAATGCTTCTTCCATCCTCTCCCTTCTATGTTGCCTTTTCCTTAACACTCCTCCTCCCCGTCCCCACGGCCCTCCTCACCTCTTCCTCAGTAGGCAGGCCCATCTTAGCCACAGAATTAGGGGAACACTGATCTTTCAAAATAACTGTTGTTGATGGCTCAGGCCTGTAATCCCAGCACTTTGGGAGGCCAAGGCGAGCAGATCACAAGGTCAGGAGTTTGAGACCAGCCTGGCCAACATAGTGAAACTCCGTCTTCACCAAAAATACAAAAAAATTAGCTGAGTGTAGTGGCGCACAGCTGTAATCCCAACTACTTAGGAAGCTGAGGCAGGAGAATTGCTGACCCGGGAGGCAGAGGTTGCAGTGAGCCAAAATCAGGCCACTGCATTTCAGCCTGGCCAACAGCAAGACTTCAACTCAGAAGAAAAAAGAGAACAAAAAAAAACTATTGTTATTCATTAGTCCCATGCCTCAGAAAGACTCCACACCATTCCCTCCACCCCTTAGGACTAGAGTAGGCCCAGGAGAGGGCACAGGTCTCCCAGGACACAAAGCAGGACATACTTTATGCGGCTGAGACCCTCACCCAAGGCACACAATTTAATATGGTCCCTCCCATGGAAGCATCAAAGGTAATTAAATATTTTACTTTAATCAACAATTCATTTAGGTGTTAGTCTTTATTGCTTATTAAAAAAAAAGTGGCATCTTGGCTACCTGGTCCAAGAGCCACATCATTTAGCCCAAGAGAGCAGCAGCAAGTGGGGTCCAGACAGACTGCACCCAGATGGTGGTGGGCAGGGCCATGGAGGTGCACAGGAGCTCCCCAACCCGAGTCAACAAAGCCCTGGGCTATGTAAATTAACTTCACTCTCCTGGAGCCTCCCAGAAATGAGGGAAATAGAGGAAATGTAATTCCCACAGTCCCCATTTATTAGATCATGTTTCCCTTCCAGAGACCACTGAAGCCTCTGGGAGGGAGCCCTAGTCAATATCACAGGTCTTCACCCAGCTCTGAAGAGACTGTGTCTCAGCCTCCCCATCAATAGCAGGAGGTCTCTTGGGAGCTTGTGCCCTGAAGGCACGGAGATGAGAGTCTCAAACAGGCTCATCTCCAGGCAAAGCCTATAAACTCTCAAACCCCAAAACCACAGAAGATGAGAGCTAAGAGCCTCCTGAAAGAGCACTGTGGCCAACTCCATTTTGAGATAAAGAAACTGGGGCCAACAAAGGGACAGTGACTTGCCCAGGGGAGTCACAGAGCAGAGTCTAAGACTGGGGACCTGGTGACAACTGCTTTCTTGGGGAGCCATCTTCATGCTACTTGCTCAGTGGGAAAGACAGACCATCCATCTACCATGGAGCTTGGATGCATAACTTCTGCATGCGCAAACACCACAGAGAGGAACCATGCTGTTGGCCACAGAGCAGAGATGCCCATTCACTGGGAATGTGGGTACTTACTGACACCCAGGGGTGACTCAGGATTTGTCCTGCGGTACACCGAGCTTCAACATTTACCTGAAGCATTTGACTGATTAATTCCTACAAACAAACAAACAAGTAAGACCAAGCGGAGAATTCCAGCATAAATAAAGAAATCTGAGTTTGTAGCAAGCACTTCAGAGAAGAGCCAGCACAGCTGCTGATTCAAACTTAAATGTGATAACACTTGCTCTCCTAGTGCCTTATAAGCAGTGCAAAAGAAAAAAAGGTCTCCCCTAAGTCCACGTGAAACCAAGATGTTCTCACCAAAGAGTTTTGGTTATTGTTATTATTCCACAGTCTAAAAGTGCAGTATTTTTCCTTTTGGCAATTCAGTCTGTCTCATGAGTTCATCCCTGTATCCTGATGGGTGCCCGATACATATTTCTTAAATACATGAAAGAATGAATGTTGAAAGCTTAGAGGAACACAAGAAGATAGAGGGGAAACTGGAAAGACGGCTGGTCTAGCTTTAAGAATTTGGCCAAGAACTTCAGAGACCATACCGTGGGATAAACTTAAAAGAACAACCACACATTAAAAGCCAAGGAACGTTCTGGAATGCAATACCAAGAGCAGCTACAGCCCCATGCCATGGGTGAGGACCCCACAACGTAACAGGACCCACAGAAACAGGACGGGAGGGTACCTTGGCAGAGTCCGTGATGTTATCCCAGTAAGGAGCCGGAAACTCCAGCTTCCCAGCCAAGATCTGGTCAAAGAGGTCTTCCTGGAGATTGTTCTCACTAAGACAGTGACAAAGAAATGGAAGAAAAGTCAAAGTCACCGTAGAGTTTTTTGACAAAGTGCCCATGGGGAGAGTGGGGAAAGGAGGCCAGTCTCTGGCTCTGACTTGGCCATTTCGTATCTCAATTCCATTTGTGATGACAAAACTTTTCCTTTCAGACAATGAGCCAAAGAACAATTTCCACAGGCTGAGGAATTAAAGAGACAGAGACAATGACTCAAGACATTTGCTTAATGAATGCAAAGTTTTGGTCTGGGAAGATGAAAAGGTTCTGGAAAGGGACAGTAGTGATTCTTGCACATGGTGTGATGTACTTAGTGGTACTGAACTGTAGGCTTGAAAATGGTGAGAATGATCGATTTTGTTATGTATACTTACCCGCCCCCCCCAAAAAAAAACACAAACACATACTCAAGAAAATATTGGAATCCACAAATAATGGAAATCATTTCAGGAAAAAAAAAAAATCAGCATCTGCCCTCAAGCTGTCATGGCAACAAGAATGGAAAGGCAGAAAATCTGAGTTCCATTTCCTTTTCCTTCTTCTTTCCACTTTAATAGCCAAAGATCAGTGGAACAGCCAACATATGAAAAAGTCATAAGGAGTTCAGAATCTGAATAAAATATTCAAGAAATAGTTAGTTCACCGTTGGAAACTAACTTTCATTTAGGCTCAGCCTGAGAGGAAGGGCCAACCCAAGACACCAAGCAGAACGGCACAGGCTGAGGCAAACCCATGTCAGCTGCTCACGGAGGGCATCCCTCCCACCTGAGCCAGACCATCCCACTCTCCGAGGTGCACTGACACAGTGAGTGCCTGATGAATGCAGGCTGACTGGACTTCTCATGAATGATGTCATGGAAATGTGAAAATGCCACTGGGAAAGACGTCCCCAATCTCCCACATAACTTCACCTCCAGAGCCCCCTCACTTGGTTGGTGCATCGATGGCCAGAGTGCGGAGCAGTGTCACTAGCTTTCCAGGCCATTACAAGGCCCCATGAGAAAGCTCAGAATGGGCCGTTGGAGTCAAGATCAAAATCCAGGAGTATTACCCAGTAAGTGTGCAAACATTTCTTGGAATTTCTTCACTTACCATTCAGGGTTTTGCTACCAACCCCCTCAAAGGGGAACAAGGGCAAGCATAGTGTCCTGAGAAACAGATCATTCAGGAGAGTGTCGTCTACAGACCAATTCTAGGGCTGCCTCATTCCTGTTCTATTAAAAAGAGTAGAATTGGCTGGGTGTGATGGCTCATGCCTATAATCCCAACACTTTGGGAGGCCGAGGAGGGTGGATTACCTGAGGTCGAGTTCAAGACCAGCCTGACTAACATGATGAAACCCTGTCTCTACTAAAAATACAAAAAAAAATCAGCCGGGTGTGGTGACAAGTGCTGTGGGAGGCTGCAGCAGGAGAATTGCTTGAATCCAGGAGGTAGAGGTTGCAGTGAGCTGAGATCACTCCACAGCACTCCAGCCTGAGTGACAGAGCAAGACTCTGTCTCAAAAAAAAAAAAAAAAAAAGAGTAGAGTTTGTGAGCTTTGTAAATATTCATGACATTTAAGAGCAAGCCCAACTGACTGGACATCACTGTTCCATGGAGTCTGGTGAAGAGGAAAACTGCAAGAGTCAGCACACATAACCGGGCCAGGCAAGAGAAAGAGATTCCCACTGCTCTCCCAAAGAGTGGCTTCAGTGAATGCACACACATTTCTTTCTTAGTGTCAAAATGTTTTCTTTCCTTTTCACTGTTATTTCCCTGCTGAGTGAACTCGGCTTACTGCTCCTTCAAAATGAGTACAAAATACATCTAAGATTATTAGATTTAGTGGAAAACTTCAGAAAACCAGAGGGCTCCAACATACAATGTTAGAAAAAGATAATAAAAATGAGCTATTTCCACAGTCATTCTTTTTAGTCATCCCTACCTATTATTCCACTCACCTCTCCCTTATTTTTTTCTGGAATCTCAAATTTGGATTAACAAAATCTTATATTTTGTTAATCCATATAGCTTTTATTGTGTTAATAAATAGTGAAGAAGCTGGAAGTGTGTGCACAGCAGTCATTTATAACAGCTGGTTCTTGGCAAAATACCCTGAGTCAACAAACAAAACCACAGGGTGTCCCAGCAGTGAGAACGGGACCCTGAAGTATCTACTGTGAGTGGCAAGAGCTTTGACAGTCGGGGCCTGCCCCTCGCTAGAAAAACAGAAAGCTAATTTATCTTTCTTAGCAGTCATGTAAGAAAAGCTGCTCTGATTAAACCCACACTGGATTTGGTATCACACTGATACTCTGCAATCTGGCTGAAATTCTTCCGGGCACTTTTAAATTCTAAAACAATACAGCCTTTGGACCAAGGTGCTGTAAATCTAAAAGTATCCATTAAGAAAAACTTCAAAAACAACTAAAGAATTTGTGCATACACTCTCTTTTCAATGACAAGGCAGTGAAATTCAGAAAAAGTAACATGAAAACATTGTAAGCTATTTCCCAAAGGATATTCAAACTTTCCACTTACAGCATTTTGTGCATGTTTTAAGAAACATCAAAGATTTTGGTATAGTCATACAAGTAATACTTCTTGTCAGTGATCCTAAAAGCAGACTTGCTTAGGCAACAACTAAAATTTTGGGTGCCTCTGAAAAACCAATCTCCTTGGTAATGCAGAATCTGACGTTGAAAATGCCTAGAGGGAGATGGCCCAGGTGCGGTGGCTCACAACTATAATCTCCACACTTTGGGAGGCTAGAGTAAGGATTTTGCTTGAGGCTAGGAGTTCAAGACCAGCCTGGGCAACATTGCAAGATCCCATCTCAATGACAACCTTAAACAATTAGTGCAACATAGTGGTGCACACCTGTAGTCTCAGCTACTCAGGAGACTGAGGCAGGAGGAATGCTTGAGCCAGGAGTTGGAGACTGCAGTGAGCTATGATTGCACCACTGTACTCCAGCCTGGTCAACGGAGAAAGACCCTATCTCTTAAAAAATAAATTAAAAAGATTAAAAAATAAAGTTTACAGCACAGGCAACAAAGTGAGACTCTACCAAAAAAAAATTATACACACACACACACACACACACACACACACACATATAGCTGGTCGTGGGGTGTGTGCATGTAGTCCCAGCTACTTGGGAAGCTGAGGTGGGAGGATTTCTTGAACCTGGGAGGCTGAGGCTGCAGTGGGCTGTAATCACACACCACTGTACTCCAGCCTGGGTGACAGAGCAAGACCCTGCCTATTAAAAAAAAAAAAGAAAAGACCAGAAAGAGAACACAGGCCAAACTACAACTAAGACCTGAAAAGCCTGAAGGAAGAAAGAATGAGAGATGCCACAGTCAGAGAAGCTATAACTAAATTCCTAATAACGATTTTAGTTTAAATGCTTTGGGTTAAAGCTGTCTTTTGTATAAAACAAAGAGAATATTTTGAAATATCTGAAGGACTCCTAAGAACAAATTTATGTAGATAACCTATTTTATACCAAGTTTATTAACCATAATTTGAAGAACCATTTCTGTAATTTGTGACATACATTTCTGTATTATAGTAGGTTATAAAATCTACCCAGAATGTCGCTGTATGCCATGAAGACACTTCTGCAACACGTATTTAACATTACAGGTCTTCTTTCATCACAATATGATATAAAAGAGGGAAAGCATTTTCTTAATTTTTTAAAGTAAGCTCCCTGGAGGTCTATGACCTGCTTCTGATGGCAGCATATAAGGGCAGCAGCCTTCAGAATGTAGCTTTACTGCTTTCGATTATCTCCAGACCCCACAAAGAAGCTGCCCCCCATTCAGTATCAATCCATGATAAATAAATCCTGTTCAATTTGAGTCTCACTTATGTTAAAAAGTAAAAAGCCGTGCAAGAAGAAACTCACAGGCTGCACCGGCAACTGGAAACACTAGAGGGAGTTGTGAGCACACAGTCCTCTCAAACTCATCCCTCCAAGACCCTTTCCCAGCTGATCCCAGCTTTGGTTAGCCAGGGAAGGAACGCTACTATAACTGGCCCAGGATCTCCTGTCATCAAGATGCACTCCCTTTCTCCACTTGACCAACTCCCGAAACAGGACATCACTGAGACCAGCCAGGGCCCGGTTTGACTGTGAAATGGCCACGAATTATCCCCCTCCCCGTCTGGACTCAGCTCATTTTCTCCCACATTGACTCTCGGGTTAGCTGTTTGACTTGATATGCTCAACGGAACATCAACAAGCATGAGATGAGCAGAGCTTGCCGTTTCTCTGGCTGCTTTGGGGAATCCTGCATCTACTCTCATGTGAAGCCCAGGGACATCCCCGCATGATGAAAGCAAAGGACCAAATTCATCTCTGTTGTCTGAGTGGACACTGAGCCACCTACCAGGCATGCAAGTGGGGTCATCCTAGACCATCAAGCCCCCACTGAGCCAGCTAGCTCAGAAGATTCACTCAACTGATCCAGAGAACTGTTTCACATTCCTAACCTCAGGGGTAGTTTGTTACTCAGCAAAAGCTACTGAACTGTGCAGTAATCCTGCAGTCTGTGTAACCCACCTAGTCAATGACCTTGGTGGAAGACCATGATGTTGACAGCCAGATGGAAATAGCTTTCCACCTACAAAAACTCCACTAATATCACGAAGGTCTCACTCAAATGCTACATCTTTCATTAATGCTACATCCTTGTGACTTCCAGCCCTGAACTAAGCACTCCCCTCATGTTCTGCATATTCTCCTTGATTGACAGTCTCACGAGGTGTGTCTTTATCTGTAGCATAAGGCTTTCAAAAGTAGAGACTGACATCTGTCAGTCTTATGTTTACTTCAATGCCAATTAAAAACTTGTTCAACTCAATGGAAAAACTGAGAATTTTAAAAAGATAATCCTTTTAACTTTTCTGTATGTTTGAAAGTTTTCATTTTCATAATAAAGTGTTGGAGGGAAAAGAAGATAAAACCATTTTTCACTGACTGACCTAATGCAACACTATAAACACCATGCCATAGGCTAAATTTCCACATCTCCCCAAAATTCATATGCCAAAACCTAATCCCCAGTGTGATGGTAGTAGGAGATGGGACGTTTGGGCAGCCATGCTACTGTTAAGGATGGAGCTCTCATGAATAGGATTAGTGCCCTTATAAAAGCCCCCAGAGATTGCCTTGCCCTTTCCACTATATATGGTTAGAATGAGGAGACGGCTCTCTAGGAACCAGAAGTGGGCCCTCAATAGTCACCCAAACTGCTAGTACCTTGATCTTGGAATTCCCAGGCTCCAGAACTGGAAGGATTAATGTACTGGTGTTTATGGTATTTTGTTAAAGCTAGCGAACAAAAAAAGACTAAGGCAAACCATGACCTCAGGTTTCATCCAACACTTTATTCCTAACACTTAAAATCATGCCTAGCACACAGTAGCTACTTATTAGAGAGTTATAAAATGAACAAAGGAAGAGATTAAAGTGAAAATAGGTCAAGAAAACTCCGAAGAAAACAGAACATGCACGATCAGATGAACTTCTGCTTCAGAGTAATTCATTTGCTCCAGAGGGTGAGATGAAACTCATCAAAAGAGCTGTGGCTGAAGTCCCTCACTCATCCCCTGCACAAAGGCTGCTGGGCCAGCAATTGTGCTCCCGCGTCCTGCTCAAACACGCTGACCAATCTCAGTGGCCACCGTGCTCCTACCAGGTGAAAAAAATGGCTACCAAGACTCAGCCACTCTGTGTGTTCCCAGGCCTATTTATACCACAAGTGTTTGCAATTCTACTTCTTAATTAAATATTTGTGAACCAATAAAATGAATTTTAAGAAGAAAGAGTTCCTGTTTTGATGAGAACAAAGTTGAATGCTTTGGAAAGATTACACAAAAACTGCTGTCTAGGCCGGGCGCTGTGGCTCACATCTGTAATCCCAGCACTTTGGGAGGCTGAGACCGATGGATCACGAGGTAGGGAGTTCGAGACCAGCCTGGTCAGCATGGTGAAACCCTGTCTCTATCAAAAATACAAAATATTAGCTGGGCATGGTGGCATGCACCTGTAGTCCCAGTTACTTGGGAGGCTGAGGCAGGAGACTTGCTTGAACTGAGAAGGCAGAGGTTGCAGTGAGCCAAGACTGGGCCACTGCACTCCAGCCTGGGTGATAGAGCAAGACTCCATCTCCAAACAAAACAAGACAAAACAAAACAAAATAACTGCTGTCTAATTGAGTGACAGAGACCACTACGAAGAACTGGAAGAAGGCATAGCTGGAAGGATGTGGACTGCTTCACAAGGCTCTTTAAATCTTGCTGTCATTTGAAAAGATGGAAAAATTGGACATAGTAGACACCGTATTATGGATTTATTTTTATGAAAGAATAAACACTAGAAACTCGGAGGACCAACCTAACACAAAGCAAAGGCCTTGGTCTCACACCCAAAATGTGCAAATGAGAATATACATTAACAGGCTGTAAATTAAGATAAAAAGTAAAAGGTGTTTTATGTAATTTTTAACCAGTCGTGACTGCCAGGAATGAAGTGTCTGCTTCTGGACCCAAGAGACAGCATTTCCAGTTCAAATACAGTCACCCAAAAGGCTGCCTACCTTCGGAACGGTGGGAATCCACAGAGGAGTATGTATGTAATCACGCCGGCTGCCCAAATGTCCACTTTCAGGCCATAGCTAGGAAAAAAAAGTGGGTGAGGGGGAGAGAAATGATGACTCCCAAGAACCTTCCATGGTACTGGAATACTGCCTTTATTTGTTAGGAAAAGGATTATTTTGCTATTAAATTATTCATTTCATTTCACCTAGAAATGAATGAATCACCCTACAGAAGAAGGCATCTGTTTCCACCAGCCTAACCACAGTCTTGGTGACTACTGCCATATTCTCAAGAGTGGCCTTGGGACACAAGTCCAGGCCAGGGCTCTGGACAGATAAGCAACAACTCTGTTTTCTGAGGTCAAAATCATGGTGCAGGCAACAGCCTCTCTCTTCTTTCCATTCACCACCTTCACAGGAGACACTGTATATACAAGCAGCAATAGCAACAAAAACAGACCCTTCTCATCAAAGTTAAAGTACTAACCAGGGCCAGCAGAAGTCTTACCCAGTTTCAGCAATGATTTCTGGAGCCACATACGTGGGTGTGCCACAGACTGTGTATAAAGGGCCTTCTACCACAGTAGCAAGCCCAAAGTCTCCCAGTTTCAAAGACTTGGTTCCATCGGGATATTCACACACCTGAAACAGAAATCAGCTAACAATCAGATTTTTTTTTTCCTCAACAATGGCAAAAGGGCTCTTGGAATTAGGCAGAAAGGACACAGACACAATTACTATTAAACTCTAATGAAATTCCTCCTTGTGATTCTTTTTTTGAAGACAGGGTCTCACTTTGTTGTCCAGGCTGGAGTGTAGTGGTGCTGGCCACAGCTCACTGCAGGCTCAAGTAATCCTTCCCCCACTGAACCCCACCCCAAGTAGCTGGAACTACAGGTGCATGCCACCACACTAAGCTATTTTTTAAATTTTTTTGTCGAGACAAGGTCTCCTTATATTGCCCAAGCTGGTCTTGAACTCCTGGGCTCATGAGATCTGCCCACCTTGGCCTCCCAAAGTGCTGGGATTACCACGCCTGACCCCTCCTTGTGATTCTAACACCATGATTTACCTTGGTTACTTTAAAGTGCTATTTTTTTTTCTCTTCAGATTCTGCACGATTGTGAGTAATTCTGAAAAAATATTTTCCACTTTTGCAGAAAGTTCCTTATCTAGGAGTACAACGAACACACGTGCTTGCTTACACTGTAGTTGGGGTGCAGGCGGCTGCGTACCTGATGGGCATGAGAGAGGCCTCTAATTCTGGAGGTAGAAACTGACCTTTATTTAGAATTTGCTGTGTGTGATGTATTTGAGAGCCCAAGAAATGGTGTATTAAGTGTTCACCAAAGTACTCAGTGATCTCCACAGGGCTAGCATGTTTAGTTCAGAAAAGAAAATTAGGGGCAGTGATGGGGTCTTTGTTGTCTGGACAGTCAGTGACGAAACATTAACATGATATAGGGGAAAACCTTGGAATTTTAGAAAGAAAATGACCTTTGGGATCAGGCAGCCTAAACCTCAATACCAAGTCCATACATCTCCTGGCTGTGTGACCTCTGAAAGTCACGTAACCTCTCTGAGCACATTTCTTCATCTATGAAGTGAAATAATGCCAGTAAGTTTCCTTGTGAAGTTGGTGTGAAGGCGAAATGAAACAAACCTCAGATTGGGGCTCAATAAATGTTCCTTCATTGTGGGTAATGATAAAGGAGAAAAAATAAAAATAAAATGTAAAAAAAGTAAAAATGTCCTTTCCATTTCCTGGAAGGACTGACTGACTAGATAATTATGACACTGGAAAAGGTTTAAAAATGCTGGTGGAGATGTGAATGTTTATGCTTAAATTTAAGAACCTTTCTGGAAAGCATTCCAGCAATATATAGCAAATTTCTTTGTATCAGTTATAACCTTTGACCCAGTAAGTCTACTTCTCAAAACCTACCCTAAGAGAATAGAGATGGACCCAAATGTTATATATAGATGCCAATCTCAGAATTTATCTATGACTTTTAAAAACTAAAGGCAACATAAATGGCTAATGGGGCAATCACTAATTATGATATATTACCATAATAAAATACTAGTTTCTCATAAGCACTTTTCAAATATATTAATCATAAGAGAAACAGTCACTATTACACAGAATAAAAAATATGCATAATTATGTATAAAATACTCAAAATGTTAACAAGTTTATCTCTAAGTGGTAGCATGAAGGATTAATTTTCTGTATACTTTTCAGTGGCTTCTAAAATGTTTACAATTAACATGTATTGGTTTCATAATAATTTTACATAGAAGCAAAATATGGAATAAACAGAACTTTAAAAGTAACATTCTAAGTGGATATTTTAGAAGCAAACAAGTGCATATGACAGCATAATTCAGATTTCACCATGCAATCCTGAACCTGAGTGTATAGTTATTTGTCTCTCAGATGTCCGTTTCCAAAACATGGAATTTCCAAGAAGAATAAACTTCTGCAGAGGCCCAGTCTATACTCATTGTAACGCCTATTTCTATTTTTCTATTTTAAGCATATTTCGTTTGCTTTGCCTCATATTTTACTGAACCAGATATTTATCTCAACCACTATTAATTGTAGAAGGAGAAAAATTTAGAAGATGATGTTTTTTCAAGATAAGCATGTTAGCAACATCATCCATTAGTCTGCTACTTAATGAGGGGGAGTGATTTAAATAGTCGTCAGTAAAAAGCATGGAGAACTGCAGGGCTCCCCCAGGCCAGTGATTCCCCAAGTTTTACAGGCATTTTAAAGAGGACAGCACTGAAACACCTTTCCTTACCTCTGATGTCTTTATCCATTTAATAAGAACATGTTTCACCTTTAGTATCTGAATAACGTTTTCCAGTCTTATAAACTCAATACACATCCCTAGCACATACCTTTATGACTTTAAAGTTTCATAGGAGTAATGATGAGGATTTTGAATCCCTCATAGATATTTTCAATTCTGAGTCAACCCACAAGTCAGCAGAAACATTTTCAAAGATATGAATGACTAAAGTAACAGATTCCAGATTCTTAGTCATGTCACCTTAGGAAAACTTTCCACCCATTATGTTTAATGTAAACATTAGCAAGAACAATCTGATATAATTACAGATGGAATTTATAATGCCTTTACCCAAACCCACATTTTGGAAAGAAATTTCTTAAGTAATGGCAGCGATAAGAACGTTATAAGCACAGCTTCCTAAATGTCTGTATCATGAGAGCAAAAAAAGTTTTATTAATGTCACTGTTATTTTGTTTTTACAACTTAAAAATACACTCATTAGGTACAATTTTTGAAAAATAGTGTTTATTTTAAGGACTCCATTTAGTGATGCCTAGGGGTATTCAAGGGTTGCTGTCAGATACTCAGAAGTCTCTGAAGTCCTGTTTTTCACATCCTGTATAAATAATTCAGAATCGGATGCACGAGCATAAATAGAAAGGGACTGAACAGTCTATAACTGCTGAATTATGTCTGTGCAAGTGATATTCCTTGTCTAAACATCAAAAAGGAAGTGTCATTAGGGGCAGACAAGCCTGAAATCGTAATATTTTATCTGATTCATCTCTCCCCAATGCTAGACACAGAAGCAAATACGTCTAACACGAATAAATTTCAAATCTTAGTGGGAGAGTCTCTTCAAAGCATGAAGAAATTATACCTATATCTCTCTCTAGATAGATACAGAGACACACACAACATTGCTTTAAAAACAATTGACTTTAGGCCTGGTGTGGTGGCTCATGTCTGTAATCCCAGCACTTTGGAGGCTGAGGCAGGTGGATCACCTGAGGTCAAAAGATCGAGACCATCCTGGCCAACATGGTCTCTGTGAAAAATACAAAAATTAGCTGGGCATGGTGGTGCATGCCTGTAGTCACAGCTACTCAGGAGGCTGAGGCAGGCAAATTGCTTGAACCTGGGAGGCAGAGGTTGCAGTGAGCCGAGATTGCACCACTGCACTCCAGCCTAGCAACAGAGCAAGACTGTATAAAAAAAATTGACTTTAATAAAGAGGTGAATAGATTAACAGGGACTCCAAAGGCTTTCTGTCAGGGTTCAGGTCTCCCCAGAAACTGACATTCTCAAAGACTTTGGAGATTTCAAAATTCTTCCAAACATTTTCTCACTGGACTTCTATAGCCACCCCATTGGACAATTTGGAAGAGAACAGTTACCTCCATTTTACGTATGAGGAGACTGAGGCACACAGGTTACTAGTCATGTGGCCAGGCAGGGGCTCCAGCAAGGACCGTTATTCGTTGTTCCAAAGCACCATTCTACAAGATTCTGTACCTGAAAAATAACTGGATAGGCCCGCCAGAACCCTGACTACAGCCTGCACTTACATACAGATTTTGAGTGAATTTAAACAACCACAACTGTGAGAACTCCAGCCCTGCAGTGTTCAAACGTCCCACCACAAGCTGTGAGATGCTTCTGTCAAAAGTTGCTCTCAGAATGCAAAAATAAAAAACGCGAGGAATGCAGATCCCACATACAAAATGAACACTGCATGTTCGCTAAATAAAATGTCAACTTGATGATTTAGAAGGACTTCAAATATGAGAAACCAGCCCTCTTCTCTCCCCTGTCCCCAGAACTCCAGGACAACCTGAATTTATCACTGGTCTCTCATAGTTAACTCTGACACGGCACCACCAGGCTGTAACTCACAGCATTAACGGCCACCCCTGTGCTCCCTGACACAGCTACCCATACATCTCCACTGGCAGGGTTTTAAATTATGATGCTGCTTACTAGAGAGGGGGATGCAAATCAGATGTCTGAATGCTCTGGTGTTTAAAAACTGAATTAGTTTTTAGAGCAGGAAGAGGCTGACAGTCACGCTGGGTATTTGCTTTTAGTATCTCAATGGCACTCTCTCCTCCCAAGCCAATGCCAACATGCTGACTAAATCTAGAAACTGCCAAGTGATCTAGTTAGGTTTTCCATGGCAAACACACATTTTACTGAGATATATGAGGCTAAGGTTGTTTCTCAAGGCTCTAAGGTTGCTTCTGAAGGCTCGACAGAGCCTTTCTGCATCACACATTCGCCTCTTCCAGAGGTCACTTTTACCCTCTTCTTCCTTCTCCTCCCTTTCTGGGGTAACACAAGGGAGTTGGCGCAGGTTTGAGAAGGGATGGGTGCTAATCTAGGATAGATGAGACTTGATGAGGAGTGAGATTCTGATTTCCTGATTGCATTCTGAGACTCATGATGTTGGAGACATCAATCCCCATTACATTATTTACTCTTTTAAATTTTTAAAATTTTAGTCAATTCTCATGAAGAAGTGAAAAACATTATCCACCCTTGATGTGTGACAAGAAAGAAGGAGGCGGTGTCAGATTCATTCCCCCCATTTAAGAATCTGAGTGGAAAAGAGAAGAAATGGGAGGTGAGAGTGAGATCTGTGAGCTGGGAAATGGATACTCCCTGGTTTACAGGGAAACTCACAAGCACCCCAGTCACTTTCTTTGCTGGGCCTTAAATCAGGGCTACTGGACAGGCTGGCTCCAGGGGTTCCCTGGGAACCTTTGGCTCCCATCAGTACAGAGAATGCAGTAGCTGAAGCCAGTGGGGCGAGGCAGGGTGTGGAGAAGAGGAAGCAGTCAAGGGGGTATCCTCATGAATGCCCCAGTGTTTGTATCTGGCCACACCTGGAGAAAACCCTGTGAAGCCCAGGCCAAACTCAGTCTAACAGTGGAGGAGCATAGTGAGCTGCAAGGTCCCAATGGGCAAGAGGCCTATTTTGAGGAGAGAACGCCATATCCTTAGTTTCCTCCTGAGGCTCGGTTTACAGCTCTGTCTCCATTCCTTGTTAGAGTTTATAAAACCAAGTCTGCAACCCCTTTTTTTGTTTTGTTTTGTTTTGTTTTACACAGAGCAGGGATATTTCTTTTCCTAATAAGAAAATATAGAAATGAAATATAATTCCCTCAAGCCAGAAGACAGTGATATAAAGTTTTACATACTTTTAAATGGATACTTAGAAATCATCAAATGATATTATCAAAAAGAAAAGAATGGTCCTCTGAATTAGATTAGCCAAAAAATAAAAAGTCCCCAGGATGGCTTCAGAAGCTGTGCATCAATGCATATTCCTTTCAACAGTTATTTCTGTGGTGCTCACAATAGGCTGTAGAGGCTCACGCTCTAGCATGAGTGTCAGTGGCCAGCCAGCAAACACTCTGCTGTCCTTTATGTGTTTACGTGGCACCGTCCAGGCCACTGGAGATACAAAGATAACTGAGACAAACCTTGCCTCTACAGTGCCTACAATCCCAAAGAGACAGACAAGTATATGATAAAGGTCCCAGCACCATGGCAAGTGCAGCAGAAACCTGAGGTAGCTGTGACTGAACTCTGTCTAGAGAGGTCAGGGTGTCAAAGAAGACTTTGCTTTTGCTCAGTGTGTTAGAAGATGAATGGTTTACCACACTGTTGGAAGAGAGGACGCTGCAAATGAAGACCAGTATGGACAGAAGCAATGGAGATGTAATGCTGTTGATAAGTCAAGTTTTAACTAAAAGCTGAGGATGGAGGAAACTGCGTTTGCATTAACCTGAAAGGTGGAAATAAAGAAGTCAATTATCTCATATGTATTTGTGGGAGGTTGGGAGGAGTGTAAGTGCCAAATTCCCCAACCAGTTTCTCTAAAATTCCTCTATAATGTGGTCATGAAGATTGGCTCGCATTCAGCAAGCTGTGTCTAGGTATCAAGACTCACCATGGAGGTGAGTTAAACATGGCTTGAAGCTTAGGCCATGTTGGGTTGGATGGGTAAGAAAGGGTTATTAACAGGACAGGAGGCTGAAAAGTCAAATTGAGATCACACTATGAAGAACTCTGAGTACCAAGGTAAAATAAGACTTTATTTTTAGAATACTAGGATAAAATAGACTTCTAAGAAAAAAAATTGGCATCACTTGGTCTCAGTTTCCATGTCTGTAAAGCTGAATGGACTAGATTATTTCCAAAATTCTGCCCTGCAAATAAATAAACCCCCCGCCATGTTCTACTCCTGTCTATAGGAGCCTCTAATCCTGTCTCAAATTCATTCGTCACAATTTTTTTCCCTATAAAATAATTTTCCTGTTCACCTTTAAGTCAGTGCCATCAATTAAAATATAAATGACAATGTATTCTCATTTTTTTTTTTTTTTGAAACGGAGTCTCACTCTGTTGCTAGGCTGGAGTGCAGTGGTGCGATCTTGGCTCACTGCAACCTCTGCCTCCTGGGTTCATCAAGTGATTCTCCTGCCTTGGCCTCCCGAGTACAGGCACACACCACCACACCTAGCTATTTTTTGTATTTTTAGTAAAGATGGGATTTCACCATGTTGGTCAGGATGGTCTCGATCTCTTGACCTCATGATCTGCCTGCCTCAGCCTCCCAGAAAATCTATCTTCTTATGTCTGGTGACATGCTTTGGCTCTGTGTCCCCACCTAAATTTCACGTTGAAATGTAATTCCCAATGTTGGGAGAAGGACCTGGTGTGAGGTGACTGTATTATGGAAGCAGACTTCCCCCATGTTGTTCTCATGGTAGTGAGTTCTCATGAGACATGATGGTTTAAATATGTATGGCACTTCCCTCCCTCCTCACTCTCTCTCCTGCCACCACATGAAGAAAAGTACTTGCTTCCCCTTAACCTTCTGCCATGATTGTACGTTTCCTGAGGCTTCCCAATCACGCTTCCTGTTAAGCCTGTGGAACTGTGAGTCAATCAAACCTCTTTTCTTCATAAATTACCCAGTCTCATGTAGTTCTTTATAGCAGTGTGAGAATGAAATGATATATCCAGTAAATGGTAAATGCAGAAAAATTTTAAAACTCCATTAATGTTTGATGGTCATTCACACGAGTCTTGCTAATTTTCTAAATTTAAAGTCTCATAATGCAGGATTGGAATAGACTGTAAAATGCCTTATTTGCCTATGATCCTTTTAAAGGGAGAAAGGCATTCATTGGAACAGAAAAAGCAGGGATGACCTACCAAGAGATTCTCTGGTTTGATGTCTCTGTGAACAATGCTGAGGCCATGGAGATACCTGAGGGCGTTGGCTAAGTTGTACACCATGGCGCTGCCATCTCTCTCCGTGTACTTAGTTGATGAAGTAATTGCATCAAAGAGATCTCCACCCTAAAGAATACAAAAAAGAACATATCAAAGCATCAACAGTGCAATCCTCTGAAGGTAAGAAAGATGGCTCATTGGCATGGAGTAGACAATGACACAAGTGCCACTAAAATCAATTATAAATAATGAAAGTTACAAGGTTGCAATACAATTTTCTGATTAGATCCATCAAGGATACTGAAAATTGTGTAACTAGGCACTAAGAAAATCTCTGTATCCTCTTACTTTGACCAATTCCATCACCAGAAAGAGCTCAGTTGCTGTTTCCATCTCCTCGACCAGCATAATGATATTGGGATGTTTCACTTGGCGTAGTATTGACACTTCATTCTCAATCAGGTGTTCCTGTCAAATGAACGGTACAGGAAGGAGGATCAGACATCAGAGAACCCTCTGCTCTCTCTCTAAGGCCTGGAGGACAATAGAACAAACACAGACTGTGGATCTGATGCCAAAGAAAGCACCTCTTTTGGCACGAAGGCAACTAAACTTGATCTAATGCATTCCCGCAGGGACAAGACAGGTCAGTGTGAGCATCTTATTGACATCACCAAAAAGATACAGACTCCTAAACATCCCCCAAAAGGCTCTATGGTGCTTCTGTGGCACATAAAGCATACTGTCTTCTTGCTCTTCATTTTTCCTAACACCTTAAGAGGTTGTGATGCAACAAAAGCTTCAGCACACAGTTCTGTACTTTCTAATTGAGCCAGAACCACTTTTTGATTTCAGTATACACTCACAAATAAAGACCAGGCATATAAGAAAACTTGGCATGCTTACAGCATATAACTTCTGGCATGTGGCATTTTTAGTTTTTAAACTGTTACTAACATGAATTTGAATTTCATGCTGAAATTCATGAAAAAAAGAACTTTCTTTCTCTAGGACTGGATATGAAATCATTCACCAGATGGATGTTACTTAACGTCTTGTATTTCAGAAATCTGAAAACATACAGTACCATGGGGAGCACTATTCTCATTTTAAATCTAATCACTTCTCTGAAAACACCACCTGATTATCAATCCTGGTGAGTAATGCAGTTGAGATCAGCACCGTAGCAAAATGTTCGCTTACAGAATTAAGGAATTATTCTTAATATATCAACCCATGAATCATGAACAATGACTGCTCTGTTTTAAACGAGACATTAAAACTTCTCAACATGTGTTCATGTATTTTTACACATGAATGCATGAAGATAAGAGCCACCTCATCCTCTTGGACAAAAACTAGAAATAGAAATTATAACAAATGAATAAATAACATGCAGAGAAAAATCTGTTTCAAGCTCCTGCACATGGTAGGTTATGTTTCTTGAGCACTGAATGCATGGTGCTTGTCCAAGCAGTCACTCAATAAATGTTGGTGAGTGACAGTCCAAATGGTAAACAGAAGTATGGGAAAGAAAGAAACCAATATTTACTAGGAATCTAGTCACTGTTTGTTAGCAGCTGTGTAGAGTACTTGTGTAATATTTGAACACTTTATCCTTAGAAACAGTCATTGGAGGTTGACTGTAAACCAGGTTTCTGAATCCAAGCCCATCTTTCTCATACACACTTTATCACCTTCCAAAGGGAAAGAATTCAATAGATGCCAAGCTGGAATTTTTCAAAATGAAAATTATAGCTGTAAGCTGAAAATATTTAATTTCTTGAAAAGAGCAAGCAGCAGCACGACACTGACTTGGGGGTTAAGAATCACACCAGGCTTTGTGTGAGAAGGAGAATCAATGCTTCTTTCAATGAACAGGGGGAGAAAGTCTTTGACTGGCTTATGACTCAACAAACGCTTCCAAATTTGAAGAATGGTGGTTCTTGGACCCCAGTAAACCACAGCTGGGAAGCCAAGAAGAGGGTGTCCTACCTGTCTCCAAGGCCCATCTGTCTAAGTTACAGAGCAGCAGACAGAGCCCCAGTTCCTCCCTTGGGAATCAGCTGTACAGCCAGCTCCTCATGGTCACAAAGACAAAGAAAAGACGTGGCAAACCCTCTACAATGATTCACATATTTTGAAGTTCTTGGATCATCAGCACCAGGCATATCCTTAATCACAGTAAAAAGCAGGGCTAGATACATTTTTGTGAACATGTACAAGCAAGCACATGGATTTATTTCACTCCATGTGAAGCAAAGACAATAGTTGCTACTACCACTGTCATTAAATAGGCTTTTATTTTAAAGCTAAATGGATCTATTACTTCTGTTCTCCTCCCTGCTCCTCATTTTCTCCAAAATCGGAAGTCTATATGGTTGCCTCTCCTTGGGGGCTGTGTTTGTGATGCTAATTTGGTGATATCTGTAAGATAACCCCCATCACCAGTAAACCAAGAACCTCTCTCAAATTGAAGTAAGATGTCTAACACATAAGGAGACTACAACTCCCAAAAGTTATTATCTTTTTCAATAAAAGGCACAACAGATGGTCTTCTGGGATATATTGTGGAACTTCTCCTAAGGGCCACCAGCAGTGTTACTTTCAAATACTGCAGCAACATTGTCTCCACCATCATTTATTAGCCCACTGAATTCTACTTGACAAAGTACAGAGTGAATATTCTAACACATTGGAGCTGTTAGCCTTTATTTCTCAACCTCTTGCTGTCCCTATAAAATTGTCTATAAAGGAACAATCCACTTTCGAAACTAACCATCATCAGAAACAAAATCAAAGCACTGCATAAAAATTTTTGCAAACATAATCTCCTATTTCTTGTGCAACCTGTATGTAGTCTTTGTTTCTAATATGTAAAAATTGCTGTCTAGATTAAATTTTCCAAGAGAGTATTTCTAAATATGAGTATTGCTTTTGCCTTTACCATACTGAACTTACATTATTCAATCATCTACCATGATTTATGTTAAGTGATTCATGATTCTAACTACAATTAACATATGAATCATTTCATGGCAGTGTTCCACAGTTCTGTGTGAGAGTAAATGACGAAACTGCTAACTTGGCAAAGGACACTGCCTTATCTTTGGACACAGTGATTTTTTTACATACAAAGAGAGAGGGGTGGGGGGGCAGTAATAATAGGAGAGAAAACAACTCTCTCAAACCAGACTAATCATCTTGTCTCAACCCATCACAGCCCATAAAGCAGTCCTTTCCTCTGCATTCTCCATCTCACTGAAGGAACGTGGCTGTCCCAAGCAGGAAACAGGAATTGCACCCTAATTCCTCCTTTCCTCCTCCTCCTTGTGGGTGGATAATACACCCACAATCACCAATGTCTGCCCACCTAACTCCTTGGTGGCCTCTGAATCCATCATTCAATTCTCTGTATTCCTCTTGCCAGTTTCTTACCTAGACTTCTAGGCATTCTCACAAGTAATTTTCTTTTTTTGAGACAGGGGATCGTTCTGTCGCACAAGCTGGGGTGCAGTGGTGTGATCCCAGCTCACTGCAACTTCAACCTCCCAGGTTCAAACAATCCTCCTGCCTCAGCCTCCTGAGTAGCTGGGACCACAGGTGTGCACCACCATGCCCAGCTAATTTTTCATTTTTGTAGAAATGAGGTCTTGCTATGTTGCAGGGCTGGTCTTGAACTCCTGGGTTCAAGAAATCCTCCATGCCTTAGCCTTTATTTCTCAACCTCTTGCTGTCCCTATAAAATTGCCTCCCCAGCCTCCCAAAGACCTGGGATTATTAGGCATGAGCCACCATTCCAGTCATAGTTTTCTTTATCTGGAACTTTCTTCACCTACAACTTGGCAAAATCCTATGTACTTCTCAGGACCAGATCAGATCTCCCCTCTTCTAAGTCACCTCCCCTGCTCACTCACAGCTGGGTCAGATAGTCCCCTCACCTGTTCTCACAGCCCCGTACCACAGATCTCATCCCACCATCTTCCAACTGTTTGTGTGCTGGTCTCTAACCCTCTGCAACTGAGAGCTTGTGGAGGTTCTGGTTACCTCACTCTCCAACAACTAGCACAGTTACTAACACAGAGTAGGTACCAAAGTGTTCATGTGAAAGAGTAGACACATCACACGCTCCCCTGCCCACAGTGGCTTCACACCTGGTATCTGTGTTGCTCAGAGCACAATGAGAGGAGAAAGCGGTGGGAGAGAGAAAATGTACAAATCACCACATGTGGTTTCTGTGGTAAACATACACAACAGACTGAATAATGGACACCCAAAGACATCAAGTCCTAATCCCTGTAACTTGGAAATATTACCTTACTTGGGAAAAGAGTTCTGCAGATGTGATGAAGGATTCTGCCATGGAAAGATAACCCCAGATTGTGGGGGACACAAGGGCAAATACCATCACAGGTGTTCTTAGAGAAGCACGGGGAAGTTTCACACAGACAGAGGAGAAGCTGAGTGAACATGGAGGCAGAGACTGGTGGGACGTGACTGCAACCCAAGAACACTATTGTCACTGGATGATCGGAGGCTAGGGACAGATTCTCCCCAAAACCCCAAAGGAAGCATGGGTTTCTGACTTCGAGCCTCCTGAACTGTGAGAGGATAATTTTCTGTAGTTTTAAGCCACCATGTTTGTGGTAATTTATTCCCACAGCCTGGGGAAACGAATACTCCGAAAGACACTTCTGGATTTATGTCCTGCCTGGGCCCACACAGATGATGAATGCAAAACTGTATACTGTGGGAAGACAAAAATGGACCACTTCTAAGCACCAGAACAGAAAGTTCAGGGTTTTGTACACTGAGGGAATTCAATAAATACTTACTTAGAATGAAAGAGAATATTAGAACTGCAAGAATTCTTAAATTTATAAATACCATAGCCTTCTCAAAAGCCTCTATGAATCTGGCCCCAATGCAGCTCTTGCAATAATCTCCCACTTAGAAGGGCCCAACGTGCTTTCCATCTTCTGGGCCTTTGCTCAGACTGTTCTGACCACCTCATAGGCTGCTTTTCCACTGCTGCCTATTGAAACCCTCCCTACCCACTGTTCCTGCTCCAGCCCAAATGTTTCCTCGGTAGCATCTTCACTGGTCACCTAACTTCTCTCCCATGTGCTTCCCCTGAACTCCTGTAACATTCTTTGCAGAACTGGTATTAATTTATATATTACCCTGTTCCTAGCACAGTGTAGCCAGAATATGCACCAATATCTAGGTGAATACATTAATCTAACAATGCCAGCGTATATTAAGGATGAACAAACAGAAGGCAAGAGAAAGTAACAATGTTTCCCAAGTTCCTATTACCAGAAGAAATGAATAACTTGAACTTAGAGAGGGAACACAGTAGATCAGCCAATGTACAGGCTGTGTAACCAGACAGCCCAAAATTCCAGTCACAACTCTGTTTCTGTGTGACTTTTTGGAAGCTATTTAATCTGAGTCTGTTTCCTTATCTGTAAAACTGGTGCATCTGTTTTGCAAGTCATTAAAGGTAATGTGCAAAGTTCCTATATATCTAAGCCAGGATTAAATAATACAGTGTAACAAATAGCAGATATTATTTTCAGCATTAATTTTCTGTATACAGCAGAGGTGACCAATACTCCAAAAACAGTGACTGAATACCACCCCCTCAAATTAACAAAAATTCTCTATATAATTTTTTCCTAAAAATAAAATCTAATGGGAAAAATCAATCTATTTGTAACTAATCAAGTTTCCAAATTATAATTTTATATAGTCTTAATGTGGAAATAGTTGTTTAGATAAGCAAAAAGTAAAAGTGGAAAAAGTATTTGATCATGCATTATAAAAATAGAATGACACTCAAAGACTAGAAAAAATAAGATCCAAATGTTAGAACGAACTTATCCATTTGCCTCAGCACTTAGTGTACCCGAATACATTTTTTTTTTTCATAAAAAGACCTTTTTTCTTCCAACCATGGAAACAGCTGTTTAAATTTTAATCAGGTAAACCGTATCCTTACCATAGCAACTTTTTTTTTACTGTTTTGAAAAAAATTTTACTATAGTTGTACAGAATCTGGCTCACCAAATTATGACACATTCTGCTTAAATCACACATGGAAAGCACAATACTTACACATATGGGGAAAAGGCTATTAAAGGGGAAAAACATTAGTAATATTGCTAGAAGAACAAGTAAAAGCACCTCAAATTATTTAAAAAAAATTAAGGAAAAGAAAACCTTACTTATTTAAAGAAATAGGGTCGTTCAACAACTATCACAGTGTAGTTAAAAAAAAAAAAACAGTAAATGACAAATTTGCCTCCTGGATTTTCCATTCTGCATTCTGAGAAGATTTTTCTAAAACATTTGAGCATAATATTTTTTGTTTTCCGTTAAAAATACACTATTTTGTAGAAGTCCAATGAAGACTAGTTTAGGAGTTCCATAACTATAAAATGACAACTGTAAGATCAAATTTGCTAATTATAAATTCTAAACTCCTCTGGCATATTCATAATGTTGGCAGTTAACATGTGTTGCATTTTTATTATATACTGGCACTTCTCTGTTTTCCATGGCTTAATTCAATCAATTCCCACAATAACCTTATGTTCTAGGTGTCAGTAATAACCACAATTTAAAGAAAGGAAATAGAGGGGTTAAATAAATTTTCCAAGAAGAGGCAGAGCCAGGAATACACTTTATAGAATCTGGCTCTAGAGCAGCAGTGTCCACCAGAAATATACACCATGATCCATATATGTAATTCTAACCAAGATCCACATTAAAAAGCAAGTAGGTTTTAAAATTGTAACAATATATCCAAATATTTTCATTTCAACATGTGATCAAATACAAAGATATTGATGAGGTATTTCACATTCTCTTTTTAGTACTAAGTCTTCAAAATATGGTGTGTATTTTACACTTAATAGCTTATTTCAATCCAGACTGGCTACACTGAAGTGCTATATAGCTGTATGTGGCTGGTAGCTCTGGTGTTGAACGATGCGGTTCTACAGCTTGTTCTCTTAATTGATATGCTACCAGAAAGGAATCTAAAAAGGTCTTTGTCATTGCTGCTATATTTATTTTTTTAAACAGAGTCAAAGTATCAGTAACTGCAGCAGCAGTTTGTTCAGCAAACACCCTTGGAACACAGAGATGAGTCTCCCTTACAAGCAAAGGGCAGATTTGTTTCCTGACCAAGACAATGAAAACAAAATTCTCCTCTGGGGCAAAGACTGGGCAGGACTGCTAGCATCTCCTCGTAAGACTGAGAGTTTCCTAAGCTCAGAGTTCCCCAGCTATGACATAACCCACTGTTTGTAAATCATCCAACAGGGCCCCTCTGCCTCACTGCCATGGGACTTGGGAGTTAGGGGAAACCAAAGCAAACATGAGGCTCATGCCACCTGCTGTGTTACGAGTAACAAAGTCTTTTGTCTGACTCAGAAATCTTGTGTTCTGCTAGCCTATATGAAGCTGGAAGGCTTTGTTAGCTTGCAAGTTTAGTCCAAGGTCCCTCACAGTTCTTGACATACCTTTTGAGTATTGTTGGGCGTTAAAACAGGTTTCTCCCAGAGAAAAGAATCTACATTTTCTAGTTAGGACCAACATCAAATCAATTTACTGTTTTAGGATTACAGTTTCTGAAAAATAGGAATAAAACAGCTTGACTGTTTTTCCTACTATTATTGTTGTCTACTCCTGCTGGGATGGTCAAGTCCTCACTTAAACTCCCTCATCACAGTAAACATCTCACCAAGTTATTCCAGTTTCTTTTACAAAGGAGTTATGCATACTATACCTTTCCACAACATTTGGCTTTGTCTATAATCTTTAGGGCAAACTCCTTTCCAGTGGACCTATGGAATAATCAGAGGAAGACCATTTAAAGATATAAATCAGATAGCATCATTCCTGTTTTCTTTTGTTTCACTTTAAATTTTTGTTTTCTTTTTTTGTAGAGATGAGGTCTCACTATGTTGTCCAGATTTGTATTTTTAGTAGAGACGGGGTTTCGCCGTGTTGGCCAGGCTGGTTTCGAACTCCTGACCTCAAGTGATACACCCACCTCAACCTCCCAAAGTGCTGGGATTACAGGCATAAGCCACTGTGCCCAGCCTTGATGGTTTTCCCATACTAAAAGACATTTTTGGCATATTCAAATAAAATTATTTTAAAGGTGATTAAAAATTAAATAATGCCTGGGCACAGTGGCTCATGCCTGCAATCCCAGCACTTCAGGAGGCCAAGGTGGGTGGATCCCCTGAGTGCAGGAATTCAAGACCAGCCTGGTCAACATGGTAAAATCCCGTCTCTACTAAAAATACAAAAATTAGCCGGGTGCTGTGGCAGGCACCTGTAATCCCAGCTACTCGGGAGGCTGAGGCAGGAGAATCACTTGAACCCAGGAGGTGGAGTTTGCGGTGAGCCGAGATCATGCCATTATACTCCAGCCTGGGCGACAGAGGGAGACTCTGTCTCAAAAAAAAAAGAAAAACCATTCAACAAAGAATGCCACAGTACTCGCAGAATATACTCATTACCTCAAGTGCAGCTGCATTTGCCAGGTGGTCACAGGACACATCAATGAGGCCTGGCTTGGAAGAATCACTTGTTCTTAAATTGTTCTCTCTATAGCATAAACAAAATCCTGCCTCAGATTTCTAACTAGTCTTTACAAGTCATACTTCAGATGCTTAATTTGTTACTTAGGGGGCAGTCTGTGTATAAGCACTGGATAAAAGGGCTTAGAGAACAAGGAGTTACCTTGTGTACCAATATAAGGAGCAGTAATGCTTCACTGGAGATGTAACAAAGTGGAAAAATTGTAGTTATCAAAACTTTCTGGAAAAATCTCCAGAAATTATTTTTAAAAATCATCACTTAGAATGGGTAGGAGAGCAGCCTATAAACACCAAGTCTCTAATTTGAACCAACTCTCTAATCTGAGTCTTTTCTGGTTTGAATATTGTTTACAAAAAATCTGGAAAAGGCAAAAATAGGCTAATTGTGATTTTCTTTTTTCAGACAGAGTCTTGCTCTCTTGCCCAGGCTGGGGCGCAATGGCATGATCTCAGCTCACTGCAACCTCTGCCTCCCAGCTTCAAGTGATTCTCGTGCCTCCACCTCCTAGTAGCTGGGACTCCAGGCATGTGCCACCACACCCGGATAATTTTGTTGTTGTTGTTGTTGCAACAGGTTTTCACCATGTTGGCCAGGCTGGTCTTAGAACTCCTGGCCTTATGTAATCCATGTAATCCGCACACCTCAGCCTCCCAAAATGCTGGGATTACAGGTGTGAGCCACCAGACCCAGGCTGATTGTAATCTTAAACAGATTCAGGGCTCATATATCCTGAACTAAGTGATATAAGTACATGCTGAGAACAATGCCTGGCACAGGTAAATATAGATGTTCTTAAAAATGATTTACTCTTCCCATTCCTCTCTGGCTCATGGATGAGACTTCATATACATTTCAGCCCAAATGCACGTAAGACAGTTTTATACTCTCTCTATATATATAAAGTATTTTTTTCCTGTGGGCATGCAAAATGGCTGGTCCCAGCTGGGTACTGCCTGAAATTCCAGCACTTAGGTAGGCCAAGGCAGGAGGATTGCTTGAAGGAATGAGCCTAGGACCAGCCTGGCAACCAAGACAAGACCCTGTCTCTACTAAAACTTTAAAAATTAGCTGGGAGGCTGAGGCGGGAGAATCACTGGAGCCCAGGAGATTGAGGCTGCAGTGAGTTATGATGGTGTCACTGCCCTCCAGCCAGGGTGATAGAGTTAGAACCCTTCTCTTTTTTTAAAAAAAAAAAAAGGGAAAGAAATGGCTGGTTCCAAGGGTAGACTTTAGAAGGAGGAAAGAGAGACTTCCCAGAAGGGTCTTTTTAAAATTAAGAATAAACTCCAAGAAGAACTATGTCTGTAGATGGACAAATAATTAGCCTCACTGTCCACTCACCTGTCTATACACTCTTTGACTACTGCAAAATTGCCGTCACCAATGACCTTTCCAATTTTGTATTTCTCAAGAAGAGTTGATGATTCAGAGCATCTGTTTCCATTGACACCTGCAAAAAGGATAAATGCAAATTCTAAAGAAAACATCAGCATTTTATACTGATTCCTAGGTATTTGTAAAATAGTAAATGGCAATGCATTTATTTCTAAATCTATGGTGAAACAAAATAAAATATATTGGTACATTTCCTGAATAGAACACATGAATTGCCAATTTCCTTTTGACCTTGTTGGCTGAAATCAGAAATCTATAATCAATCAACCTAACAAATCCCTGAGCCATCAGGTGAAATAAGTGATTAGCCTTAGGTAAAAAAGACATTTAATGAAAATGTATCCATACATTTTTATCAATGTTCAAGAAAAGGGCAGAGGATACAATATGATAGAAAAAGGAAAAAAAAAATCGCAAGAAACGAGAAGGGGATAGTGGTGGGATTTAATGTCAAAATGTTCAAGATTTCTCTTCAAGATTTTCCAGTAGAGAAAACTCTACCCAGATAAGATAGATGCCTTGTTAAGGCTAATTCCTGGCTCAAAGCTTTCTCAGAAAGGTATGTGGGTGAAGTGTTAAGATCAGCCCACTTCCCATTATGTGTCCCAGTGTCCAGCACCCAGAAGACACCAAATCAAGAAAACAGTTTTGTTATCTAATTGAAAGACAGGAAATATACTTAGAAGTTGTGACCAGATCATCACAAAAATAAAAGAAGCCTAAGTCTAAAATCTGAAGCTTCAATGGCCTAGTTAATGACAATGAGATTTTTCTATATCTTGAAGTGACCCCCAAACCCCACCTCTTACTAAGGCCAAAGGCGCTAACAGGTGATGTGGTCACATCCCTCTTTAGGAAGATTGTAATTTAGCCCAAGTGACTTTTAGGTGAGCACCAAGTTCACGTGCATAATTTCCTTTATCAAAGTAATGATCAGATTGAGAATTACCTTCAGGACTTATGCAACGGTCAAGTTCAGGTCCACCGTTTGCATTAGAAGAAGATCTGCCATGCGCAGAAATCTGCTGAAAGAGGAGAATGACCATTATTTATCAGGATGATTTACAAATATTTAGCTAACTAATCCATAGACACAGAAAATGCTTATGGAATGTAAAAATATAACGACAGAAACCAAAGAGGCATTCCCTTTCTTCTCTCATCTCTCTCCTTATACACATCACATTAACGCATTTCTTCCTTAGATATTTCATTCCAATTAGACATAAGAAAAATCATTGTTTATTTTTTTTGAAATTGTTATTTTTTACTTCCATAAAAGAAATTAAAAGAGACTCTATGGCAACACAGCTCGATAAGATAGTTATTAGTACACGATAAGGCTTGGGACTATAGAAAATTCTCATAGTTTCAAGCTAAACACGTGACTCCTAGGAGTTTAATCATTTACTTTCCTCACAATACATGATAACTGATGGACAACTGCAATTTTTCAAAATTTAACATTTTTGTTGTTCTGTTTAATTTTGGGCTGCTGAAATTGAAGGCAACTCTGAATCGACAGCACTTTATGGCAGACTGTTTAAAAAGCCACAGTGCTTAAAAACAAGGTCCAAAGAAGGGACTTAAAAGGAAAGCCTAAAAGAAAATCATAACATTCTCTATTCCATTCGCTGCCCACAGCCACCACCCTGGTTCAGGTCCTTCTCTGGTTTCACTTGGCGTTGCATCAAAGGCCTCTTTAGTTATTCTCAGTCTCTCTCATTCCACATAGTATTTATTACCAGAGAAATTTTTCCTAAGAATAGTTGGATATCACCCCCAGGATTCAAAAACCCCAGTGTGTCTTTGTTACCAGCATAAGAAGTAACTGCGAAATCTTCAGTATGGCATTCAGGCCACAATCTGTCCCCCTACCTACTTGTCTGATGTGTTTTCCACCACCTATTCTCATGTATTTTATACTCAGAATAATTCAATTTGCTTTTATCTTTCAAAAATTCCTTAAAATTTCCAAGTCTTAATTTTCTCCACTGAAAATGGAGATAGTAACAATACCCAACTCAAAGATTTGCTAGAGAATAAAAATTAGCTTATCCCTATAAAACCACTTAACACAGACTCTGACATGTAACACTAACTCAACATTAGTTTATCAGTGCCTTTCCTTAAAGCATTTAGCAAAGAACCCTGAAATGAGTAATTAAGAATGTGAAGGGGGCATGGTGCTTATGCCTATAATCCCAGCACTTTGGGACGCTGAGGCGGGTGGATCACCTGAGGTCAGGAGTTCAAGACCAGCCTGGCCAACATGGTGAAACCCTGTCTCTACTAAAAACAGTAGCCGGGCGTGGTAGTGCATGCCTATAATCCTAGCTACTTGGGAGGCTGAGGCAGGAGAATTGCTTGAACCAGGAGGTAGAGGTTGCAGTGAGCTGAGATCGTGCCATTGCACTCCAGCCTGGGCAACAAGAATGAAACTCCTCAAAACAAAAACAAAAACAAAAAAAGAATGGTTGTGAACTGTGGAATGTAAAATGGCTGTAGGAGACCTTTTGCTAAATAATTCATCCCAAGTGTGTTCCTCCTCTAACCCAACTGTTTCTAGATTGTCAGTCAAGAAAACAAGAGCTCCAAGTTAAGATCAGCCTTTTTCTTTTCTTTTCTTTTTTTTTTAAAAAACAGTCTCACTCTGTTGTCCAGGCTGGATTGCAGTGGTGCAATCTTGGCTCACTGCAACCTTCACCTCCCAGGCTCAAAGGATTCTCCCACCTCAGTCTCCCAAGTAGCTGGGATTACAGGTATACACCACCACACCCCGCTAATTTTTGTTATTTTTTGTAGAGAGAGGGTCTCACTACGTTTTCCAGGCTGGTCTCCAACTTCTGGGCTCAAGCCATCAGCCCAACTCAGCCTCCCAAAGTGCTGGGATTACAGGAGTTAGCCATCATTTGGCCTGGCCAGCCAAATTCTTGACGGAAATAAAGATAAGAAGAACATAATTTTTCTGGAAAATTATATCTCATAAGATAAAAAGATCTCTGCTGATCACTGCCAGCCCCTGAATAAAGTAATGGGGGAGGTGGATAATCAATAATCAATGCTCGGAAAGCATGTTGGACAGTGACCAGTGAACCCACACATCTAAATCTCACAGCCCAGGGCAAGGCAGCCCCACGTGGTCAGGCCACAGGCAGCTGGGTCTGGCGTGATCACTAGACAGGAACCACCTCCTCTCCCAGCACTCAGGGCCTCAGGACTTTGAGCAGCATGCAGATCCCCACACCCACTGTGTCCCTGCTCTCCCTGAAGCCAGCTTGTTCAGCTGTCCTGGAAGCAGGTAATGGTCCTGTAACAAGTCCCTTTCTTGAGTTAATTTGGGTAAGCACTGTTTTACTGCAGGGTGATGTGTTGTCTGAGTCAAACATACTCTGAGAAGCAAGTTTCAGGAGGGGCTGAAACACAGGCATTTCTACTTCCATGTACATTTTCGCATGGATCAGCAACTAATCGAAGTGTTTATCAGTTGAGCTCCCGTGAACCATTGTAATGTTTCCAATGTTTATTTTCATTAAACCTTCATTCCCACCCTACCCTGATCCCCTGTACAGCTCAGCAATTACAAACCTAGTATGTGTTGGGATATACAGGTGACATGGAGCAGGAAAAGAGACCAGGAAACAGGACAAGTGGTGGAAGCCTGGTCTCCAGTGATTAAGAGAGTGGCACCTGGGCTGAAGCCTTGAGACTATGAAGGAAAAGGGAGCCTGGCGGACAGGGAGAGAGCATGGCATGGGGCCAAGCCAAGGGGTACTTTCAAATGTACCTAACAACGGCTCCACTAAACACCAGGAAATGCAGCTTCTTAGCAAACAATAAGGGAAAGGACATTTTTCAAGGCTGTCAAATCATTTTTTTAAAAGTTGTTAAGCCTCAAGCATTAAAATAAACAAACTTATGTAGCGTTAACAGGGATGACTTAGCCAATTACTTAACCAAATATGTTCCTTTATTTGAAAATAAGCCTTTCCTAAAGAGAAGCAAAAAGCATGAAAAAAATAAAGGGAATAATTTTATTATACTGCAGCTCAACAGAGGAACATAATTAGACACAGAGACCATTTTCTTCTCCTTCTTCACTCCTCATTAAATCTACAGCAACGGCTTGTACTGTTTTAAGGGAGAAGAAGATGAAGATGTATCGTTATTACTGCCCAGACGTTTACAAGCTTATGAGGAGAGATAGGTGTACCTAAATTTAAAACCTTCAGCGAAACCTCTGCATTTCAGAATAGCTGCTGATGGTTACAAATGACTCTGAAGAGCCGTGAGAGGGAGCCATTTTGCTACAGCACAAATCTGACCTTCTGTTTGAATTGCTCAGCTAGTGATTCAGTTCATTTGACCTCCCAGTAATGAAGCTTGGCTTTCCAGAGGTAGAATAAAGGCTGAGTATTCACTCAGATCTCTGGACAGATCACTGGCAAGTGTGAAGCATCTATTGTAAAATATAAGGCAAAGCATTCCCAGTGCCCTGAGAGACATGCAAACAAAGAGCAATGAAAATACAAGAAATAAAGCTATGACTTTGCAAAATTGTCATCATTTCCTTTGCAAAATGTGTATATTCCCTTGTCTCCTGTAAGAGAATTACTGTCTTACTGAAGCAAGAATTGAATTAGTACCAGAGAGATAAAATATAGCATTCAAGATTAAACCTGTCCCACTTCTATTGTCAAACTAACAATTTCTATTAAAATCTCTTAAAATGCTAATGAGTATTCCTGCTTTCATCAGCAACTATGACGCTGAGACAGCACAAAGGAAAGTGCCTAGATGCTGTATGTAGTGGGGTCCTCCTCAATAAAGCATGATGGATGGTGGCATTTGCGGATTTTCAGGATACCATTCATAATTATCAATTGGTTCAGAAAGACAGCATTGTGTTTGGGGCCGGCAAAGAGGGCAGGCATGTATTTCCTAATGAGGTCCTGTTTCTGACTGGTCAAGGAGGGAAGGTGACAGAGGAGATCCTTGAAGATACTGACAGAAGAGAACCTTGAAGATCTTCTCTGGGATCTGGTGCCCCTGCACCACTTCCCTACACCTCTGGCAGCAGTAGAGCAGAGCTCCATTTTTATGAATAAGCAAGAAAGGAAAATGTGCAAGAATCCTCTTCTGCTAAGAACTTTTTTTTTTTTTTTTTGACACAGTCTCATTCTGTCACCCAGGCTGGAGTGCAGTGGCATGATCTCAGCTCACTGTAACCTCTGCCTCCCGGATTCAAGCGATTCTCCTGCCTCTGCCTCCTGAGTAGCTGGGATAACAGGCATGCACCACCATACTCGTTTATTTTTTTATATTTTTGGTATAGATGGGAATTCACCATTTTGGACAAGCTTGTCTCCAACGCCTGATCTCAAGTGATCCGCCCACCTTGGCCTCCCAAAGTGCTGGGATTATAGGCACAAGCCACTTCACCCAGGTGCTGAGAACTTTTTTAAAAAAGACTTGAAAAGAGAGCAGAAAAAGCTTTACAGTGCTCTCAACTGCTAGCATCATTTAAAGGCATTCATGGCTGAATGAGGACATATGATGATGAGCAACACTCCAGCTTTCTAGGTTTTTAGCCACAAAGTTATATCAAGGGGTCCTACATTAAACTTCTTTGGTAAGCAGATTACCACAATTTCTACAGATTTGAAGTTTAAGGAGAAATGTTAAGTACTACACTAAAACAGGCAAGTCTCTAAAAGAAAGTAGCAAGAGTGGTTACTTAACTATACATTATGGCATATTATTGTTGACTTGAGTTTAATACTAGCTACCTTTGTGCTATATTGATTTTCATCCTGATTTTCAGGGACAGTTATGTCCCTGACTCATAACTCCCACAGCCCTTGTTATAATGTTGGAGTGCTTAAGGCCTCAGAAAACAGTATCTCCGACCTTCTCCTGCCCTCCTTTCAGCTGCCTAAGGCAGGAGGACTCTAATCTGACTGCAGTCATAACACTCATTCCAGAGGAGGTCCTGCCCCATACCCTGAAGCAAGGAATGCTCTAC